CCGGGACAGAATCCGGCGTCCCGACTGGGACTAGAACCCAGGGTGCCAGCACTGCAGGTGGAGGATTAGTCAAGTGAGCCATGGTGCCAGCCAGATAGGATTTCATTAAGAAGGCCTTTAATCCATTCTCTCTTTCCACACATTCCAGGGCTCTCATTATCTGTACATTACATTGCTTGATATAGTCTTGTAAATCTAAAACTGTGATTTTTAATTTTCTAATTGTTCTTCTTATGTTTAGTATTACTGTGTTAATTTAGTATTACTGCATTAATTGCAGAAGTTTGTCTTCCAGTTCTCATATTCACTCTTCTATTTCATATGTTTGATTTCTGAGAGATTCCACGACATTTTTATTTGGTCAATTTGAAGCTTTCATTTCCAGTATTTCATTTTGGCTTCTCTTTAGAATCTCAGTTCCTTGGGAGTGCTTCTCATTCAGATCTTGAATTTGTTTTTGATTGCTCTTAAGTAATCTTATCAATTTTCTGAACTTTTTCCTAGCATGACTTCAATTTCTTTTTCTTCTGTCTATTTGTGAAGACTTAGATTGCTCCATTGGCAAGTTCATTGGTTCTTTCTTACTCTTATTCAGAATTTTTCCTTTGTTCTTTGGCATTTGTTTGTGTTCTGATTGATTTAATTTTTAGATTGTTTTTCCTCTGCTGTGAGCTGCTATGTGTCTGTGCTGGTTGCCAGTGTAAGCAAGCAGCTCCACCTCCTGGAGCTCTGTTTATTTCTGGCAGCTTAAAGAGGAGAGTAGCCAGGCTTTGATGTACTAAGCCCCACCTACTAGGGCTGGTCTCCCTGCTCCTTTGTTCACTAAAAAGAGCTTGTGTTTGTTTTTCAGATTTATTTTTTGCTGTGTAACTTGCGTGATGGGAGAGAAGTCACTCTGAATTGTTGTGATTGTTGTTCTCTGGTGGGGTGTGTTATGAGGTGGCCCCCACAATTTTTGGGTTCATGGCACAGGAGGCAAAAGTGCAGCCCGCTGCCTACACTGGAAAATGTAAGCAACCAATGTGGCCTATCCCTGCCAGCTGCAGTTCCAGTTAGGGGGCGGGGTAAGACACCGAGGAATCGTGGCATGTTCACCCTTTCTGCCCGTCCCCCAGAATTTCTCCTTCTTCCCACTTAGAGCACCGATTACTGTTCACCAAATTTCCACACTCATCTGTGTATGCATCTCTGTGGGCTCACAACCTCTCACCTGAGTCACTGAGGGAGTGGTGGCTGTCTCCTCACTGTTCCCTTTCTGCACTTTGGGCACCTGTCTGTCTTTGCAACGTGGGCCTGTGCACACTCTGGTGAACTCCTGAGCCACTCTGCGTAAACTTTTTATTATTGCTGTGCTTGCTTGTATTCCTCCTTCTTGTTAATTATCCATTTTTCCCTGTGCAACTTGGAACATCCCACTGCTATACCACCGTCTTGCCTCCACCTCCACAGACACAAACTTCATCTGCTGTTTCACTCCATAAACAGCTGCAGCCGCTGTCCTGGGCCAGGCTAATGCTAGGATCCTAGAACTCAGTCTGGAACTCCCTCATATGTATCAAGAACCTGAGGACTTGAGCCACTTCTGCTGCCTCCTGCGGTGCGCAATAACAGGAAGCTGGAGTAGAACTGTAATAGCTGGAATTCATAGTAGGCATGCCAACTTGAGGTGCTGGCTAATGAAGCACAGTCTTAACCACCATTTCATTTTTATTTATTTTTATTTTTATTTTTTTGACAGGCGGAGTGGACAGTGAGAGAGAGAGAGAGAGAGAGAGAAAGGTCTTCCTTTGCCATTGGTTCACCCTCCAATAGCCACCGCGGACGGCGCACTGCGGCCGGCACACCGTGCTGATCCGATGGCAGGAGCCAGGTGCTTTTCCTGGTCTCCCATGGGGTGCAGGGCCCGAGCACTTGGGCCATCCTCCACTGCACTCCCTGGCCACAGCAGAGAGCTGGCCTGGAAGAGGGGCAACCGGGACAGAATCCGGCGCCCCGACCGGGACTAGAACCCGGTGTGCCGGCGCCGCAAGGCCTCCAGAGGATTAGCCTAGGGAGCCGCGGTGCCGGCCAACCACCATTTCAAATGCTTGCCCCCTGTTTTAAGGTCCTGTCCCTCTGCATCCATGATTGAACGATTAGAGATCAAAAATATGTGAATGATAAAAATTGCATGTATATTGAGCATATACAGGAACACATGTAACTATCTACTTGTGTTGCATTAGATATTGCAGTCCTAAGTCCTAATGTGAGTTAGAGTTTGTGTGCAAGTATGATCAGCATTTTGTATGAAGAACTTGAACATCTGTGGGAGTTTTGTATCCATCGAGTTCCTAGAACCATTCTTCAGTTACAAAGAGATCTTAGTGTTTTATAGTTGTTTTCCTGGCCTTTGATAGTTTTTTGTTTGTTAATTTTTTATGCTTTATACTCAGGTCTGCAGTATATTTCTAAGGCTGGTGTTCTTTAATTTGCTTCCCTGTCCTCAAGAACTGTGTCCTGTGAAGTCAATATGTTCTTGTCTCTGAATTCTGAACTCATTGTCAAATGAGGGTGTTTGCTGGTTTCTGTGATCCTTCCTACTTCTTGTGCTTTGGCAACAAGCTGGAATAATCAGGCAGCTAATTGCATTTGTTATTTTAACAGGAATCATTTTTTTGTACTGCCTTTTCTCATGGTTAAAAACTGATTTCCGTGGTTTCTTCGTTAATTATTATAGAAAGTTAAATTAATCAGAACTGAAACCTTTTAGTTGTCTGAGGACTGGACTAGAGGCAAAATTCTGAGTTGAGCCCCAAAGTCAGAGACATGTGTGAGACATGGTCGAGACACGTCCTCAAGATTTGAGTTGTGTGAAGGAGAGGTCTCTCCTAATTGTTGTGACTCTCCCAAGGATCTGGGTTAAAGGTATACAGATTACCTAGTTTCAGGTGGAGAGTTGATGACACTTTCTTAGAGTTTGGAGAAGGAGAGAGAGACATCTCTTTCATACGTTCTGAGTCTCAGGAGCCTGAGCAGACCCCTGGAGATCAAAGACAGATTTCATTCTTTGTATCTGAGTGCTTGCAGTCTCCTACACTCAAGTAGACAAAAAGGATAGAAGGTATTCACAATTTTTAATTGAAAAGGAAGAGCTATAAACATGGCTTTTTTTAGAATCGTATTTAGAAGTAGAGTCATTGAGGGGGTTGAGCTAAACCTGGGGCAGGAGAGGAACAGTTTTAGATACCTGAATGTAAGAATAGAGGCTTACAGTGTCTGCGCTACAAGTATTTTGGTTTTTAATTTTAAATTGAATGGTGCTACAATTCACAATAGCCAGGACCTGGAACCAACCTAAATGCCCATCAACGGTAGACTGGATAAAGAAATTATGGGATATGTACTCTTTAGAATACTATACTGCAGTAAGAAACAACGAAATCCAGTCATTTGCAACAAAATGGAGGAATCTGGAACACATCATGCTGAGTGAAGTAAGCCAGT